TATCGCTCGCCACCAAATGGCGCGCTAACATTGCAGCTTGAAGGAGAACTCGTGAGTTTGGCGTATTTCCGAAGGGATGATCGGGCTCTTCGTTGCGCATAGCTTCTTGGTGAATCCAGAGGAGTGTGTATATTGCGACAAAACCTTCAGGCGACCTGGGTGTCCGTAACTGAGGGGCTCGCAATGCGGCGATCAAAGGTACCTCCATGAGCCCTTGCCACCTTTGAGCAGATGGCGTCGAGAGTGATATCCAGAAAAGATAACACATCTTGAGACGATTGCCGCAATGAACAATCCAGTCTTGAGCCGGGTACTGATTCTGTGCCAACAACTTTCTCGCGTCTTCGTAGTGATTTTCCGCAAATTCCCAGAGCTCTCCTCGGTCTTTTGAGGTCATGCCGTCTAGGAATGGTCGAATATCTGCGTAACATGTGATAAGGTTCGCGTGGTTCTTCCAGTACGTCTTACAGTCGGCCAGCATTGGAGTTCCTGGAGCGACATTCTGGCGAAGTGTCATGTACGCAAGTCTCAAGGGGCGGTCTTGGCTTTGGAACTCCTCTGGGTTGAAGGTACGACTTGTGATATCGGAGATCAGGAGAACAGCATCGTCAGCGGAGCGTGTTGCGTACGCGGCGGCTAATAAGGATATCCAAATATCTTTCTTCCAGGCACAAGTCTCTCGAAGGCTAAGAACGTCAGCAATAAGTAGGGCTTGAAAGTCGCTGCAGCAACCCGCAGCCACTTCACAATGCTACACTCCGCCGCTGACTCAACATACCTTTCCTGCTGTGATATAATGCGCTCAATGTACGCAAGACACTGGCTTTCAAGTAGAAACCATTCTTTGCTCTGCCGTGCAAGTCTAATCTTCATGCCCCACAAGTCACCCCGATGTTTCGTCATGAGGTCCTGGAGGGCTGCAGGCGGGTGGTTCCAGTGTTCGAACAGCTCGCTACACTTCGCTTGCCGCGCGAAGATCTCGCCCATAAAACGCAAGTCGCGTATATCCTTGAAAGCGATGGGGTCATCTGGAGCCGCCTCGTATGCTTGCTTCAAAAGTCTACGAGCCAGGTCGAATTGAAGTCTGCTTTTCATCTCGCCCTGGGGAAGCCCACGCTGCTGTTCGGCTGCGAGTTGAATAGCGAGTGTTTGCGTGAAGTGGGCATGCTTTTTTGCAGATGTTGATCCAGCGCCCTCCTTGGTTTCTTTACTGAAGTGAAAGACAGCCTGTCAAGCATTAGTACCAAATCTAATCTCACCCTGTTGTAGTTTTATTGGTAGCGACAAGGCGCGGGGAGATGCGCATTCCCAAAGGTGTCGAGATACAACCAGGTCGTGGCCAGATGCCGGTTTCTTACGTACCAGGCGGAAGTCTTCCCAGCATTCCTCCGCCAATGCCACATTCGCTAGAGCAGACCAGAGATCTTGACGGTCTTCCTTGCGTCCCAAGGCTTTCGCAGCACGTTGCCAAACTTTGAGGTTCCCATCACCCACTCCGCTGATGTTTAGGTTGTTATTCTGATCCCTCCGCGTAGCGTCGGCTAAGATCTTATATAAGTAGGACAGCAGCCGAATATCGTTCACCCCTGGCTGCTCCCAGGCCTGTTGTACCAGATTTGCTACATCGGTGTCCACATTGTTCAATGTAAGACATAACCGAGCTTTCCATGCCTGCTCGAAATTAGCCTGAGAATGAAATTTCCGATGTCGACTAGCATACCAAGAGAACTGGGTTCTTGGGTGTCTTCTTGAGTGATTTTTGTACGAACGAGTCTGCGAACTTCGCTTTTGGGTAGTCGCGCTGAGCCTTACACAGCTTCTCCCAACTGTTGCAAGCCATGACAGCCGGCACCGAAGCGCGGCTTGATTTCGCAAAAATAGGAACGACCGATGAAAGGCTAGTGATGCTCGATCAATGTCAAAAATGAGGTGATTGGCTGATTGGAATTATTCGTCGTTGGCGGGGATGTGTAAGGACGGGAAAAGATGATGTAGGCGTTCGGGCGGAAGTCGGAAGCGAGCGCCTCCGCTTTAGGTTCTCTCACCAAGCAACTGCACCTCTCACTTGCCCCCTGCCTAGATAATCAACACCTGCGCACGAACAAAAAAGAGGAATACGACACATCTGGCTAATTATGAACTCGCAGGATTTTACCGTCATTTCATTACAATCCACGTACTATCTCAATCTCGGCAAGTTAAATCGGGAGAGCATCTACTACAAAGAAACCCCCAAACAGGTCTGCAGCCTGCATCAAGATGAAAGCATGCAAAGTAGACGACGTTTAGTCAACGTAGACTCCAGGGTGCACATCTCGCCACGAGACAAGCAGTCTAGTCAACCTCCATATCCATATCCTCATCTCCATCCACCTTCGCAACCGAACTAACGCCCCGCTTCTCTACGCACCTCTTGAACTTATCCTTCATATTTGCAGGCCGCGCGCTCAACACGCTCAAAGGCGAGCCGCTTCCAACCATGAGCTTACTCTGATCCAAGTTTCCAACACCGGCCTTCTTAGCTGCTCTCCTACGCTCCATACCCGCCTTGCGCTCCGCCGCCAATGACCTAGCAGTATCCCCAATCTCGATCAGATCCTGGTTCGCGCCCTTGACCATGTTGTAGGCGTTGCGGAAGTCGGCGTACTCAGGACCTTGGATGTCGTTGCTGAATACTTGTTGGTCTGCTTCGGTCCAGGTCTTGAACTCGTGCGCGAGGACGGCTGCTACGACTAGTTGCTGCAACATGCTGTCTTCGTCTTTGCAGATACGAGATGGGCTACCCAACGGGGCAAAGGTAGCATTTATGGCGTCTTTGATCGCGGAGGGAGTTTCGTTGCGCACGGTAATGAAGAGCTGGACGAGCTTAGTGTGGGCAGCTGACTTCAGCGCGTCGTAGTCGAGCTCTTCAGCCAGAGCGTACATGTGGAGATGGAAGGTGTAGTCGTGGATGTCGACTAGAGCGGTCGTAGCGGCGGTAGGCGGGTTGACATCTGGAATAACAGTTGCGTGATAGAACTTGAAGTTCTTCTGAATGAGCTGCTTGCTACCGTCCCGGACGACCAGGTAGTCCGATGTGTAGATGAAATTGACGATTCGGTCCATGAGGATAGGATGGAAGTGGGGCGGCAGGTTGACGAACTCTGGTGGATTTGGAATTGTTGCCTGGTCGTGTTAGTCTCAATCATAGTAAATATCAAGACGGGAAAGCTTACACCACCAGGAAACAGTCCCTCCTGTAAAGCTTTCGGGCCGCCAATCAACATGATAGAATGTACTTTGAACTCCACACCAGCGGCGGTGATCAGATTGAAGTCGCGACCGATAGGAGTCTCAAGTAGGAATTGAACATGATTGGCCTGCAACTTCTTTGCGGCAGGTGGATGAGCGTAGGGTTTCTTGAAGACCTTGCACAAGAGATTGCGAGCGCTGCGCGTATCGATCTTCTCTGGCTGGATAGACGCAGTCTCGCGCTGAAGCATCGGTATCTGGGGTACCTGGGGCACCGGAAGCACCTTGTATGTGCGTGAGGGATGTACGTCGTCCATCGCGAATGAAGGTGTAGAAATAGTAAATCAGAGATCCCCAAAAGTGTCTTGTGGCGCGGAGTTGAGGTGGGAAGTGGGGTGAGACAAAGTGAAGGCCTGTGGGCTTGGAAGTCGCGTGCGCTATCGTTTGGCGCTTTTCACGACAATGGCGCGATTTTCGCAAAGTGAAGAGACACAAGTGCAGGCACGTAGGCAAACCGACCAATCCGCGACAATCTTTTGCATGAAGCATCCACATTACTCGTACAATCGTATCCCATAGAGACCCAGCTCTTAGAATGTTGGCCTTGTCCTCTCACCCTTCCACAACCCCATAACCTCTCCTGTCTCTCCAACCCACTCTCTGACGCCAGTGACAACAGCCTTTGCCATGCCAGCGTTTGTTCCACTTCTCGCCCTCCTCTTTCCTTCCATGCCACTACTGGCTCCACCGACGCCAATGCCTGTTCCGGTTCCGTATGATGCTGGTGCTGGTGCTGTTCCTGGTGTGATGTAGCTGCTACCGTCTCCGGTCGCGTACTCTGAGCCCATTGAGGGAAGGACATTCTCGCCAGCAGACAAGGAGACAAACAAGGCGAAGGGGACTAGCCAGACGCAGAGGCCGAAGTAGGACGCGATTTCGGTGAAAGTAGGAATGTTGGCATCGCGAGAGTAGGGATACGAGGAGTAGGTGTTCGCTGGTGGAGCACTGAAGTGGCGGAACCACAGGTAGTGGTTCGCAATTACAAGAGCTGGAAATGATGGTCAGCATTGCGCCGGTAGAGACTTCCAAGCATCATAGCATACCACAAGAGGCTAAGAAGAGTGGATCCGTGAGCTTGACGATAGGGAACCGCCTTAGGTTCTGCGCATAGATGAAATGCGACCCGACACTCAATGCGCTGAGCCCAATTGGAAACCTATCGACTACGAGAAGGAGTGTCTGTATGCCAACGACGCCATAAATGAGCCGGTAGAGCAGTTTCTTCGCGAAGACGGTATGCTCTTCCACGAGTTCAGAAAGGTAGTACAGGCCGGAAGCTACGTTGCGTTAGCCCCATGAAGCCAAAGACCGAGAGCATCACAGCAAAGTACCTATCGCAAGCGTCAGGAACGCGAAGCCCAGGATAACGCCGACATATCCAAGCAGCGGTAATATCCACATGTTGACTTTTGGCACACTTCAGGGGAATGCGAAGAGGGATGAAGTGTGGAAGGCTGGAAGTTTGGCCGCGGCACGATGAGGTCAGTCCAAAGGTGGCATCAAGGCTAGCGGAGAAACCCGTGGACCCGCGCCAGAGTGTGGGGTCCAACTCCAAAAAGTCGTGCGAACTCTTGGCTGAAGGTGCGTCGAGCAACTGACAGACACGCTCGCTTCTGACAATCACTGCGCAAACGAGATACATATTTCCACGCGATAGGGAAATTTACTACAGTCAATCGTCCAGCGATTCAGAGTTAACAACTGCAACCATGTCGCGCCCAGAAGACATCCTGTACGCAATCCTCCCAACACCGCAAATCGCATAGCGAAGAACACAGCGCTTACACATCTGCAGACCGCCCGACCTCTTCTACAATGACTCCGAATCGCGCAAATACACCACCTCCTCTCGTATCCAAAAGATCCAATCCACAATGACGCACCGCGCCCTCTCCCTCCTCGCGCTCACCTCGCCATCCATGATCCTCGACGTCGGCTGCGGCTCCGGTCTCAGCGGCGAGATCCTGTCGCATTCCGCTGAACAAGGCACACCCGGCGGCCCACACGTATGGATCGGTTTCGACATCAGCGCATCCATGCTGGGCGTTGCGCTGGAGAAAGAGGTAGAAGGAGATTTACTGCTGGCGGATGCGGGGCAGGGCGTACCGTTTCGGCCGGGAACTTTCGATGCTGCGATTAGCATTAGTGCGGTTCAATGGCTGTGCAATGCTGAGACGAGCGAGGAGAGTCCTGCGGGCAGGTTATCGAGGTTCTTCAACCAGCTTTATGCGAGTCTGAAGAGGGGAGGGAGGGCTGTTTGCCAGTTCTATCCTAAGAACGATGCGCAGAAGAAGATGGTGGCGCAGGCGGCGATCAAGTCTGGTTTCGGTGCGGGTCTGTTGGAGGACGATATGGGGACGAAGAGCGCGAAGACGTATCTTGTTCTGACTGTGGGTGGTGGCGCGCTGGATGGCGACATTACGGGCGTTGTGAGGGGTATGGACGGCGTTGACGTCGAGGATGCACGGAGAAAGGCCAAGGGCATGAAGAGGGGCGAGGAACGCAAGGGCAGCAAGGCGTACATCATGAAGAAGAAGGAGCAGATGGAGAGACAAGGAAAGGTCGTCAAGGCCTCGTCCAAGTACACTGGCAGGAAGAGGAGGATCCAATTCTAGATATACCCACATCACGATGACGATGTTACGCATAGCACGGAGTTCTGGGTCTGGCATTTTCACGAGGGTATAAGAATGGTCAATTCAATCATGCAGCATGCTATATACCACCTACAAGTACAGCTCTATTCACATTCCAGCTGGTAGTTGTACAAGTGCCATTGCGTCCAATCGTTAAGAAAATATGTTATTGCTCCATATCCTAGGTTAACCCAATGTGAGCCGAGGCCTAGATGTGACGGTATCATCGCGCTAGATCAAAGCTTAGCAAACACGAAGATCATGATGGCTAAATCATGCCTTCTCCATCTGGTTCAGGACTGCGCGGGTGAACTCGTGGGTGGTGGTGTTGCCTCCCATGTCGCGTGTGCGGGCGGTACTAGACATTGTTAGTCATGTGTTGCTCTTCATTTGGAATTCGAACTTACCCGTCAGCAATAACCTTGTAGACGGACTGCGAGATGCGGTTGGCGTGGTCATCGAGACCAATGTGACGGAGCATCATGGCGGCGGACAGGATCAGAGCAGTGGGGTTGGCCTGGTCCTTGCCCTTGATGTCGAGACCGACGTGACGGCATCCAGGCTCGAAAACGGCGACGTTGCGGCCCATGTTGCAACCGGGGACGATACCAGGACCGCCAACGAGACCAGCACCAATGTTGGAAAGGATACCTCCGTACAAGTTGGGCATAACCATGACGTCGAATTGCTGGGGCCTTGAGACACACTGCATGGAGGCGTTGTCGACAATCATGTCGTTGGTCTCGAGAGTGGGGTAGTCCTCACCAACCCTCTTGACGGTGTTGCGGAACAGACCATCGGCGAGCTTCATGATGTTGGCCTTGTGGATGCAGGTAACCTTCTTGCGGTTGTTTGCGAGCGCAAAGGCGAAAGCAAACTTGGCGATGCGCTCCGACTTCTCACGGGTGATGATCTTGAGCGACTCGACGACGCCGTTGACCGACTGGTGCTCGAGACCAGAGTATTCACCCTCAGTGTTCTCACGGATGATGCAGAAGTCGATGTCCTTGTGGCGCGTCTCGTAACCGGGGATGTTCTTGAGGAGGACGATGGAGGCGTAGATGTCGAGCTCTTGACGGAGAGCAACGTTGAAGGAACGGTGGCCGGAGCGCTCGACGGGCGTGTGGAGGATACCCTTGAGACCGAGCTTGTTGCGCTTGAGCGAAGCAATGGACTCGCGGAGGAGCTCCTCGGAGTGGACGTTGCCAGAGTCGACACCAGAGACGTCGACCTGCTCCCACTCAATGGGCACGTTGTCCGCCTTGAAGATCTCCTTGACCGACTCGGAGACCTCAGCACCGATACCGTCACCTGCGCATGTTCAGAATCTATATCCATTTATAGGCGGCTATCGCGCATACCGGGAATCAGGGTAACGGTGTATTTGCCGCCGAACTTGGTGGGCTTGAAGATGTCTTGGGTGACCGTAGCCATTGCTGTCGCCGCGTTAGACTCTGCATTTTTGGATATCTTTCACGTGGTCTTCGTACAGCGGGTAGCCATGGCGGGTGCCCATCGGGAGGCAGGCTTCGCGCCCCGCAGGAGCGTCTGCACAGGCGCATTAGCACTCGAATTCCCACCGCGCCGGCCAATTGCGGGCGCATCGTCTTGCTCGTACCTGCGCTGTTCTTTGAGAGGTCCTCGACAACATGGTGGAGTTGCGGCGTTGGGCTGGTGGTGAGGGATTTGAGGTGGAGAGAAACAAGCTGAAGCTGCCGTCCCCCGAAAATGCATCCGAACCGAAGGAAGAAACCGCGCTTGGCGAATGACCACATCCGTCCTTCCGCCGCGGCTCGCTCTCTCTATTATCTCCGACGCAGGGCAACGATGTCTTTCACTCGTTCCGATGATTGCTTCTTCTCGTTTTCGCAGTTTTTCTACTCCGGATGAATCTTTCGATTTTCATAGTCGCTGTGCCTGCCTAATTCGTCACCACTCCATTTGCATGTGATCGCATGGGCTACGATTTGCATAGCACGACATCTCATCCTACAACAGAAATCATCTGATAGACGGCTATGGAAAAGCTTACATTCAGGAGATCAGTGCAAGATCGCTCCAGGAGCGCACAATGACCCATCAACAGAAATTCCCAAAGTATGCCAAATGCCCTCTTTGAAGTATGCGATAGGCATGGCAGAACCCACAGGTCTTTAATAGGAAACTTCAAGTCGGTCAAGATTGTCACTCTGAGGGCGAGCGAGAGAACCATATGGGGTTGCTCTAGCAATCCACATAGCATGTGGGCTCTCGAAGTCGTGCTGCTCCGCAGAGCAGTCTAGGTTCGGTATGTCTTATCTGACTGGGTGTGTGAGCGCTCATGCAGTCGCTCTCACTTGGGCTTTCGCAGACGTGTCGGTCCCTGGCATCACAGCGTTCCTCTAGCACGTGTCAACCACCTAACTAGCCTCACCTTCACCTCACTACTCTGCCGTCTTCATTAGGTCTCTCAATCTTCAAGACGCACCCTCTTCCTCTCTCTCCACTCCTTCCCATCTCGAATATTCTCTCCATTTCGGCCTGATATCAAATTCCTTCTCCAGGTTCAGGCTGCCCTTAGTTGCCCAAAACAGCAGGCACGCGACTACCGAAGCCCCAAAGCGCAACACTCGGCGGTGGAGGCGCTTGTAGTTCCAAACATCCTTCACCCCTCACGCTGTCGATACTGCTAATTAGCAACGATCTCATCCGGCGCCTAGACACTTCCTCTGCAGTTTGGCACGTATCAACTCAGTCACGCCAAATCTAGTACAGTAGCGACTTCCGTATCTCTCAGGCGACCAGTCACTTCGCGTTGACTTTCGGCTCAGTCCAAGCCTACGCGAAAAAAGATATTGGGTCATCGCAAGATACGCCTCGATCATACTCATTATTAATCGTCTCATAACAAATTTCTCCATCATGAAGGTTATCGAAAGAGGCAGCGACCGAAGAGCACAGGTCAACATCTATGTCGATGGCCAGGTTGCGGCGCTTAAGGAATACGATCAGTACATCGACCCACGAGACAACGCCATATGCTGTTATGTGGTCATTGACGAGGGTCACAAGCCTCGAGTTGGCGGCAGGTTCACAGGCACCGTACGCAATACTTGCAAAGGTCTGAACGATGTAACTAACGAAGATTCAGACTCTAGCCGTGGCCTATGATACCATCGTGGACGGAGTGCTACGAAAGGCCAACTCATATGTCGCAAAAGCTGTAAGCTTGCAGACCAACAGGAAGATTGACACCGAAAAGTTCCTATGCAAGAATGGGAAAGAGATCATCGACACTGAGATGACCGCAACTCCTCTCTTGAATGTGGTCATGACACAAGGTGACGAGCCTGAAACCATCGGAACGATCGAGCATCGCTTGTACATCACGCGACAATTGGGTGTTTCTCACGAAGTTAGTAACGTGAGAAAATACTACGAAATCGAAGGTGGTGTTGAAGAGGATCATCGGGGCAGCACCGAGCAGAAGGCAAGCTACATGAAGGTACCTCCAACTCTGAAGATGTCTTTGGAAGAAAATATCGTTCCGTTGGAGGGTACGCAGCCGAACCTGCACAAGCGCAGGGCAGATGCAAAGCGTCCAGGTCCGGAGCCATGGGCCATCTTTCGTTTCCACTATCGCAGTGAAGGTCAGCTGCTCAAACTCATTCTCAGGTACGAGGCTAACATAGCACTCAGACGATATGGAGGACCGAGACATGATCATAACCTTTGACCCCAAAGATCCGGGATTGGCAGACCCGCATACTCTAGCGCTGGAGCCTCTTCCTCCTCTGGTTTTGGGTGCAAGGCCCGCATCAAAGAACGACGGATATGCTTCGTCGCGATCAGAATCTCCAATGCCTTCCACCACGCCAGCGAAAAGCGCACAGTCAGAGAACAAGACCCTTGCGCCTTCCGAACAAGCAACTGCGGCGCCCAAGCAGGCACTTGCCAATGGAGATACTGACAACAGCATCTCTACCTCTGATCCTGGTAGCGGTGGTGAGAAAGTCACAGAAAAGATCGCCGCTGCGCCTTCTGTGCCGGTAGCCGATATGATTGCGAAAGTATCCAGCCTCCCAGGAACCGGTACCAAGCTAGCGAACGTGCACCCAGACAAATCTGTAGCCGTAGCGAAGGAGACAGTCACAAAGCCTTCCCCTTCGCCGTTGGATACAGCAAAGAAACCCCCGCAGTCCAACACTCCGGCAAAGAAACAGGTCGCAAAACCAGCGTCTATCAGTACCAGCACAGTCAACGGTCAGAAGAAGCCAGGTACCCCTACCCCAGCAGTTGTACCAGCAAAGCGTACATCTTCCACTACCAACGGCATAGCACCACCAGAGCCAAAGCGTACGATGCCAACGCCTACGCCTACGTTACCTATCGCCCAGCCTGTAGTGCTGCGCTCCTCTACACCTAAGACGCTTTCGATCGAACGCCAGCTCGCAGACCAGCGAAAAAACCTCGAGGATATGCGCAAGAGGCGTGCGGAGACTGCTAAGAAGCAGGCTGACATTGATGCGCAGATGGGACCCTACAAGCAGCGTATGGCGGAGGAGCTGGATCGTCTCAAGCGAGAAATGATGGAAGAAGAGAGTGCGTACACTGAGGAGGCAGAGCATTACAGTGCCAGTGTCGAGGTCCTGAAGGAGTTCAAAAAGGCTGATGATGGCAATTGATTTGGTGTTGGAGTGTAGAAACGGGCCAAAAGTGTGTTGGAAGGAGTACGGCGTTGATGCGATATGGTGAGCCCGGGAGGAAGTCAAGATTTTTTATGCTTTGGACGATTGGACGATGGCTCAGCCAGACGACTACCATGGTATTCTGCAGGAGTTATTTGGCGAGAAATACGATAAGGCCTGGAGGTATTCGAGATTGATTTGACGTTCAATCGGTGAGCCATGGCTCAGCGAGGCGACTACCAAGGTGTTTTGCAGGAGTTATGGAGGGGAAAATATGGTGAGGCCTGGAGGTAGTCGAGGTTGATTTGATGTTCGATCGGTCAACGATGGCTCAGCCTGGCGACTACCCATGGTGTTCTGCAGGAGTTAGGGGGGAAAGTCTGTGACTAAGCCTGAAATTTATTTGGATTGGATAGACGTCTTGGAGTACATGCTCATTGACCTGGTGTTCGCTCTCTGGCCACCCTCATGTTCGCCTTGATCCGCTCTAGCAGCTCAGCGGTTGTTGCAACAGGGGAAGGATGTAGGTTTCTCTGCCATGGCGTTAGCATGAAGACTAACAACAGCCTATACCTCAACACTATGACGGCATTCCGTAGCTGGAAGGTAGCCAACGCTAGCATGCGTTCTTCGTCACACCGAGGCTATAGAGAACTTACGTGCTTGAGCCAGGTAACGCATTGATCGTGTGTCCATGTTTCTGGGTCTGGAAACATTGTCAGCAAGATCAGATCTTGAATCGATCGGCATTCAGAAACGATGTAGAGGGACGCACCACCAGTAGGGTCTTGACTAGGGAAGATGTCCTGTCCCCAGATGCTCCATGCTGCTACACCAGCGACAACTGCGGCAAAGGCGAAGAAAGGGCCCTGACACATGTCAGCATGTACTTTCCGCGGCATGTAGAAGGCCCACTATGTAAAGTAGATGCCAGGAGAGCCATGAATAACCTACACGTTGTTGGACCGCGCGATCGATGGGAGTCGGCATGCTGAAGGGTGGGAGTTGGTCGTATGTGCGTGTGTGAAAAGAAGCTCAAGGTCTTTCGTCAGAGTGCGAGATGATATTATGAGTTTGACGAGTTTGGATAAGAATTGCAGCAGTTATAGGGTTGTAGGCAGCACTGTTTCATGCGACGCAGCCATGGCGTTCCTGGTTTACGCCACACTCGTCGTCACCCCACCAGGCCCAAAGCAGCAACGCTTGCGGGCAGCCCCATGGCAGCCCGTGCGTTTCAAGCGAGTCCACAGCATTTTTGGCCTGTGCCTAGGCGTCTCCGAACTTCACGATCCCGAACTCCAACGACCCGTCCACACACAAATCGTCAAGATGCCTTCCGAAGTTTCCGACATCAAGCAGTTCATCGAGATCTGCAGGCGCAAGGATGCCAAGTGTACGTCTACCACTTCCGCCGGGGGAAAGTTGCGGTCGCAGTAGGGGGAGGAATTGTGCACGATGAATGCGAGCCGCAGAGACCTGCGACGATCGAGGCAGAGAACGTGATGAGAGCACTGGACTGACATTATCGCAGCCGCCCGCATAAAGAAGAACAAGAAGGTCAACAACATCAAGTTCAAGGTCCGATGCTCAACAAACGTCTACACCCTCGTTCTTAAGGACACCGACAAGGCCGAGAAGCTCAAGCAGAGTCTGCCCCCGGGTACGCACATCCCCAATACTCCAGCGCCAATGACACGAATCTAACAACCGCAGGTCTTACCATCACCGACGTTGGCAAGAAGAACCCCAAGGGCAAGCACGCATAAACGGATCGAACGCATGAGGGACTGAGGACAGAAGTGTGCAAGGACATCAACGCACGATGCGCACGAAGCACGAAGGCATGGGCGGACGGCGTCTCAACGGATAAATTTTGTTCAATGGCATCACGGAACCCTTCACACTGGGTTACCACCAGGAATGAAAAAAGTCAAACTTCATTCCGAACACCACAGCCTGTTTCCGACGTGCACCAAGAATCATCATGTATCATGGTCAATTTTGCTGATCAGCTAGTTACAGAGTCACTACCGATAGGGCTACTAATACAGCGATTGCTTCGGCTTCTGTCCTTGCTTCACGTTGAACTTGTACTGATCCTTGCGGTCCAAATACACGACCTTGCTATCCAGACCCGCCGCGTGTACCGCCTTCTTGAAATCATCCAGCGGGCTCAGGAACACATCGTAATCGTCGTAATGGATTGGAATCGTCAGGTCGGGGTTGATGAGCTGCATCAGCTGTACGCCCTGTTCGGCATCCATTGTGACCATCAGCAACGGCATCTTAGGTCCAGGAATCGTGGTGCCTCCCAGGTGGACCAGCATCAGGTCGATGTTCTGATCCTTGTATCGCTCAGGAATCTCCTTGAGCTCGTCCACCATCAGCGTGTCACCGGATATGTAGATCCTGTATCCGTTCTCGAAGTCGCTACCGTCGCCAGAAGAACCATTTGAGTACCCGAGTTCGACCATCCAGCCATTGGTAGGTGGTACGGCGCCAAGAATATCATTGGCAACGTTCAGTGGACCTGGAGGGACATGCTTTCCCGGCACACCTGTGACTTTGATGCTAGGCTTCGGACCACTTTTGGTTGGTTGGTCAGACTGCGATACATCTAGGAGCAAGCTGTTCCAGAAGTCTAGCGCATGCACATTCTTGAATGACTCCTCGCCCTTACCCGTCAAGCATTCCTTGGCATGTGGTGTAGTGATGATCGGGAGTCCCTTTGACAGTTTCTCCTCTACTTCTCGGTCGAAATGGTCTTCGTGGTAGTGCGACAGCAAGATCACATCGATCCTCGGTAGCTCTTCCAAATCAATGGCGGGGTTGGTCTGTCTCGTTGCACCAACGCCTGGTCCTAGGTGAACATGATCGCCAGCATGGAGGAAGTTGGGATCAGTGAGAATGCGGATGCCTTCCCACTCTAGGATTGTGGTGGCAGTTCCAACGAAGAAGAGGGAGGCATTCGTTGAAGCGTCTGGGGCGTTCTGAGGATGGATCTTGGTCTCTTTAGCGTCGGGTAGAGAGGTAGGAACATCGGTGTTGAGTTTCGTAGGTGGACCCGAGCCGTCTGGTGTAATCTGGATACGCTTCATGCTTGCACCTGACATTGCGTTTCGCTTGGTGAGATGGTTATGGTAGATGAAGAATCGTATCGCTTTGTCTTGCTCTTCCGTAGATGCACTCTTGATTGTGACTTTCCGATGCTAGACGTCTCTGTTCTATGTACTGGCGGGGAAGGCGTGCGAGCAATGCGAAAGCAACGGTGTAAGGGTAGGCAGGAAAAGAGAGCAAAGAATAGGAAGCGCATCTCGTCCTTGGTGTAGAACGCCATCACGTAACGCGTAGATAGCAATGACGACAAGACGCGGTAATCGTAAATACTGCAGGGTGGGCGGTGATCATGAGAACAATGCTCGAGTACTTCTGGAAACACATTGCCGCATCGCAGCTGCTGTTGATATACCTAGGTACCCTCATCGTGCTGAATTTAAATTTGGGTGCGGAAAGAGGCTATACTGTGCCTGTGCCTGAGTACGCGTGTCCTATCTGTAGCACAAGGAAGAGCGATGCTTGCGAGTCGTAACGAGGCTGAGGGTTGAAGGTGGAGCTTCCCCATTGAACTCCGCTGTGGCTGATGTTTCCTGAGATGCGGGACCCCTGTCTAGCCAAGCTATCTGCATCGGGGATGAGCAATGAACACCTGGCGAGTCAGACAGAGGGCGCTTTGAGCATTGCTTTCCCAAGTCGACTGGAGTCTGGAGCAAGATGTCAAGTTATCAGACTTCGCAAGGGTGAACTACACTCGCTCCGCCTGGTCTATTGTTTAATCAGCACTACGCGTCGCGCCGCCTCATGAACTCGACACGCGACCCGTTCAACCTCCGCAGCAAAACAGCATTCAAGACACCCTCCGCCTTCGCCCTCCTCCAGAACGCCGCCAACAAGAAAGCCTCGCAAGCCGTCGAATCGACCAAGCAGGCAGTCGAGGCCACGAAACAGGCGATCCAGGACTCAGATATGTCCTTCGCCATCCCGCGCAACGTACCCAATTTCGAGAGCGCGCAACGAAAGTTTGAAGATAATGTTTGGAACAAACTACCGGGGAACGAAAAGGGCTTGCCAATGTATAAGGACAAGCCTTCGGGGAAAAGCTATGGATATGGCGGTGGTGCGAGGGGCAGGAAAGGCTTCCTGCGGAGTAAGAGGGGCATGTCGCTGATTGCACTGGTCGTGCTGGGGCTGTTCTACTGGTTCGGATGGTCTAGTGGTGGCACAAGTGTGGGCACAGTACAAGATGAGAAGGATAGGGGCAAGAGCTTGTTGTCAAACATAGGCGGAAGTGCTGCCGGAAAGAAGAGCAAAGTTGACTGGGAGAAGCGGAGACTAGCAGTCAAGGACGCCTTCCTACTGAGTTGGAACGCCTATGAGGAGCATGGCTGGGGTTACGACGAGTACCACCCCGTTTCGAAGAAGGGTCGATACATGGCTGAGCCCAACGGTCTGGGTTGGATCATCGTGGACGCGCTCGACACGCTCATGATCATGAACCTCACCAAAGAACTCACCCACGCACGGCAATGGATTTCGACGAGTCTCGATTACGACAAGAAGCAGGATGTCAATACCTTTGAGACAACTATACGCATGCTTGGTGGTCTGCTGTCTGCACACTACTTGCAGGATACACTTCCGGGCCTGAAGCCTGAGAACTCGAACGAGGAGGACCTCTTCCTGGAGAAAGCTACCGACCTGGCTGATCGTCTCATGGGCGCGTACGAGTCACCTTCGGGTGTGCCCTGGGCCAGTGTGATCCTAAGAGACGCCAAAGGCGAAGCCTCGCACGCCGACGGCGGTGCGTCATCTACCGCCGAAGCAACCACTCTCCAACTCGAGATGAAATACCTGGCATTCCTTACTGGCGAGGCACACTACTGGGATGTAGCTGAGAAAGTAATGAAAGTCGTGGACGACAACGGCGCCAAAGACGGTCTCCTACCCATCTTCATCTACGCAGACAAAGGCACGTTCCGCGGAAGCGAGATTCGATGGGGCAGCCGTGGAGACAGCTACTACGAATACCTCATCAAGCAGTACCTGCAAACCCAGAAGCAAGAACCAGTCTACCAAGAGATGTGGAACGAGTCGCTCAACGGCGCAAAGAAGCATCTCCTCACATACACAAAGAACAGCCACTTCACCGTCCTAGCAGAGCGACCAAGCGGAATCGAAGGCAAACTGCATCCCAAGATGGACCACCTCGTCTGTTTCCTACCTGGCACCATCGCCCTCGCCGCAACCGGTGGCATCCCCCTCGCCGACGCCCGCAAACTACCCACCTGGGGCAAAGCACAAGAAGAAGACATAACGCTTGCCCGCGAACTCACAAAGACATGCATGGGCATGTACAAAGTAACCGCCACAGGTCTCGCCCCTGAAATCGCCTACTTCCAGCTCGACGACCCGCCCAAGATGTACCGCACCGAGATACTCGCGTCCAAATCCGAGCTCGACACCAGTGTCCCCGACGGCGAGGGCTGGAAGAGCGATTTCGACCTCAAGCCCGCTGATACACATAACCTCCAGCGACCAGAGACTGTAGAATCGCTCCTGTACATGTGGCGCATAACCGGCGACGACATCTACCGCGAATGGGGCTGGGATATGTTTGAAGCTTTTGTCAAGCACACCATTGTGGAGGATAATGGCGGATTCTCTAGTATCGGTGATGTGACGAAGGTACCTCCTCCGTCGCGGGACAACATGGAGAGTTTCTGGCTTGTAAGTTCCTTTTCTCCTTCGTCCCCACATCTTCAGAACTGTTGAATTGCTTTGCTAACGTACAACGCAGGCCGAGACGCTCAAATACATGTACCTCCTTTTCTCCCCCGACGACCTCCTCCCTCTCGATCAAATCGTCCTGAATACCGAAGCGCATCCGTTGCCTCGCTTCGACGCAAGCAAGAAGAGGTTTAAGACGGGCTGGGAACGTATACCGCGGGACGATAATGGTAATCTTGTACCCAAGGGCGAAGCTAAGCCGATGGAAACCAAGGCAGAAGAAAAGACGACTTAGACGTGTTGAATGGATTAGAGCACTTTGTGGGATTCGTAGAGCGCGCATCTATCGTTTTATGGGGTCTAGGATCTGGAAGCAAGCGTCTGGATACGTTTGTACATGCATGAGTGGCGCTATCACGTTGGTTAGTGGTACATGTCGTAGACTAGACATGCACATAGGCTCGAGTGCGCACATATTCCTAGCCCAACTCGCGATACAGAGATGTTAAGATGCGTGTTCCATTAATACTATCAACTCCAGTGATGATGCCAGCAATTCGTATATTTGCGTAAACATAAAACACGTAAATCGTAATTCATGACCCCATCCAGTCTGTCTCCTGGGTAAGGGGTATCCTACGCTCGCTCACGTATTTATAACGGTGGATGCGGTGTATGCAGTGCTACGTTCATACAGGAGAACAAGGCCGTGTTCTTAATCTCCATCGCATAGGGCTCGGCCAGGGAATCCCTTCGATACAAATCACAGCGGGTACTAACGCTCCTGTGACTGTTCGTCGCCTATACGTGGCGGGCTCTTGGAGTGGGCGGAGGGGTTCCTAAACGGCGAGTGGCTTCCTCTGCACAAATGTTAGCTTCTCCTCTGTAGTCCTCAAGTATGAAATCCTTACGAGCGTCTCCGCTTGCCCTCATCTCTCCTCTCCTCGATGACCTTGAGCATAGTTCTCCGTCCATCCTTCGCGTTGATGTGTGCATCCCGCATGCTCATGCTAACCTTCTTGCTCGCATCGGCCCGAAGCAGCCTCTTAAGCAGTAAATGCCGCATGAGCACACAAACGAAGACGCCGCAGTCGCTGCCGTTCTCTTGCTGCGGACTATCATTCATAGGGATAAACCGCAGTCGTTTGCCCAACAGTTGTTCCAGCTTCATAGTCGTACTCCGTGCTTCCCGCTCGTTGGACTGGGTCATGGAGTCGTAGTGGAAGGACACGCCGTCGATGATGGACACGAGAAGGAGGGACCAGTGCGAGCCGCCTTCGGCTTGTGTGACGTCGGTGTTGTCATTTATCGGCAGGAAGACGTGGGTCGTGTGGCTGAAGTTGGGGAGGACTTCTTTGAGGGAGAGGGGCTCGGCGCTTTGCATGAGCATGTAGGACATGGAGGGGCGGAGGAGGACGATGGAGGCTTTGGGGAAGGCGTTGAGCTCTTCGCGCTCGAGGTATTCTTGCCAGAAGGCGATTGCCTGTTGATGCGTTAGTCATGGCTGTGGTGGATTGGGAGGAGGTGGTATGCGCACATTGTCCGTAAGCCAGTCATTAGACTTGATACTGTCCAAGTCGGCTCGCGTCACTGTAGTTGTCAGTAAGGTCGTTGATTAGTCAAAAGCGCATGGAAGCGCAAGTCAAGGAATAGGCGACGCGTACACACCCCTCACATCGTGATCTACTCTCAGTCAGTCTTCACCCTCTTGCACTCTCTCGATGCAGACTCACAAGAAAGATAGGCCTCATCCGGACTAGGATCACCCAAGTGGCGCCTCGCCTTGTTGCGAATCCTCGAAAACGATCCAGGCATGTTGCACCCGGTTGCGATGTGACTCTGTGGATGGATCGTGTGGCACCGGCGTGCCAGTTATTCTGTGCGAGGCGGTAACTGCCGAAGGACTAATCGAGGGTGCGGGCCTCGTGGGTATGCGAAGGGGTAGGGATGTCGGGTGTCTGTCTCGTTGCACTGCTGGGTAGACGCGCGCTCGAATGATGCAGATGCAGGTGGGTTCTGCGGGTGAAAAGCAGGGATGACGTATGCGTATGGGGCTAGACTGCGTGGGGGTGTCGAGGAAATAGTTCTGGCCGCCTCGGCACTTATACTCCTGGGGCACCAGCACCTTTAACGCGAGATATCGCCGTTGCAAGCTCCGCGTTTCCGGTGTTATGATCGTCTTCTTCGTTTCAAGCACGTGGTCTTGCGGTCGGGTGTTTGAGTTGTAACAGTCTCGTCTAAGTATAGGACAAAGCAAAAGCGGACATGTAATCCACGTTTGTTTTGTTCAGTCTCACACTGTTCACAATTCCTTCATGTATATTTAAAAGGTCAATCTGGGGCGGGTTGTAACCATGGTGGCAATCATTCAGACTTTTGCGATTTTTACATGGTACACGCTTGAACCTTGGTTGACACACCTTTCTAAGGCAGTTGTCCAACTATCTTGGCACCATTTGCATGATCTTGCTTTCCGAACTGCTCTGGCCTCTCTACCCTGAACAGCCAGCTCTGCTTGTCCTCGATCTTTCCTTGCTGAATACCCTTCAAGGTCGACAGGAGCTTCTTGCATGCTGGGCCTGGTTCTTGTTGTGCCTCTGCGTATGTGAACTTGTCGTCCTTGGAAGGCAGAGTAATGGATTTGATAGGTACAAGGGCCGCCGCGGTTCCAGCAGCAAGGACCTCGTCAAAGGACTTGAGTTCGTCATAGGCGATCTGAAATTGTTAGCTCACCGTACGCATTGATAGAACGCTTGTAATACCTCTCGAGACTCAGCTTCCCAGCCAAAGGATTCGGCGATTCTGAGAACACTGTCTCCTGTGACACTCTGGATGACGTTCTTGCTGTTGGAAGCGACGAGCTTGACCTTTTCGCCGTCCTTCTTTACGCCAATGAAGGCAGATGTCGAGAACTCGTCAACAACGCTTCTAGTCTTGCTATCCAGATGCAGGGTAATACCATAGCCTGCCTTGTACGCCTTCTCGCTATGCCGTAATACTGGAGCATAGTTGCCGCCAACCTTTGCTGATCCAGTACCCTCTGGCGCAGCGCGGTCAAAGTCCTCGAGAATAACAGCATCTACTGGGTTTGAGCCATGGTAGACACCAGTCGGGATACAGTAGACTACAAAGGTGTACTCCTGGGGTGGGTTCAGGCCAAGTTGTGCCGAACTACCGAAGAGCAGTGGTCGGATGTACATTGCGGCGCCTGTTTCATGGGGCGGTACGTACGCCGCGTTCATTCCCACGGCCATACTGCAGCAGGCGAGGAAATGGTCTGTCGGAACCTCCGGAATAGATATGAAAGACGCTGAGTGCTGCATCCTCTCGGCGTTTTTGTTGGGCCTGAAGATGTTGATAGTGTTGTTTGGTGCACGGAAAGCCTTCATACCCTCATAGCACTGCATTCCGTAATTTAGTCCCGGTGCCATGCCGTGGATACGCAGGAATGGATCCTCGACGAAGACTGGAGGAGTCCATTTTCCGGTCTCCTTAGAGTAGTGTGATTCAACATGGCCAGCGACTTTGCAAAGTTAGGAGATGTTCAAACGAGTTTTCTTATAGATGACTGTATGGTGGGGCTGAGAGTACGCAGCAGAAATAGACTCTGCCTCCTCGTCCATACTTGAACCCAGCCGCGCACTGAAGTCATTCGTGACAGGATAAGCCTTACCTTCCCGAATTTTGAAGCCCACGTTGCTCCAGTCTGCGATTGAATTAGCGCATGTCTTTGCGGCGTGTGGACCGTTCCGGCGACCGGGTTAGCAATTGACATACCAATGGTGTCGACTGGTGGAGGAGGAAAGTCTGACATTGTTGTTTTATTTGAAGTGGTCTAGGGTGTCGTGTGCTGAAGTGCGAGTCAATATGCAGGTCAGTCAATTGGCGATTCCAAAGTTTTGAACGCTTTCGGAGGCTCAGTAAGCTCAGCCCTACTGCGATATCGGATGACGTAGCCCGGTAATATCCCTCGGCAGCCGTCGCGATATATCAAAAGCCCACCCGCCCGCAAATTGTAGATTTCCCATCGCGGAGAGCCCTGACGATGTTGTTCCAATGCGAACTAGCTTCGATCGCGCAGACGTACCTGCAGATTACCCGCGCGTGGTGGGACCACTCGGGCGTGATGCTGCGAAGCCCCAATGCTTGGCGTTATCTGAGGCATCGCGTGCGTGGCCATGGATGGCAGCCTTTCACATTCTACAGTGAACCATGGAACGCTTCCTACCGCCCTAACACCTCGATTTCTCGTCTCAGAGAACTAGTATACCTACTCTACAATGATCCGCATTACTGGCCTCCGGGCTAGATTCGTCGTCTTTGCCTTAGTCGTGTTCGCCCTCTGTTCATTCATTCTAGTAGGACCCTACAAGGTGACACCAGCACACCTAGCATTGCCAGCGACCGAGAAGAAACTAGGCCGTACCAGTGAAGCTGTGCTCACAGGACATGCCATCGCGCCAAAACTAGAGAATGCGACGGCGAAGTACGTGCATCACGGCCTGCGCGGGCACCACACAGATCACAGGAGGCAGGCTGACAAGCAAATGCAGGGCAGAACTCGGTCGCGCCGCGTGGAAAGTCCTACACACAACCTTCGCTCGTTTCCCCGAAAGCCCTACCGACGAGGAACAAGAGGCGCTGCGGTCATATGTACACCTGTTCCAACGCCTATACCCCTGGTATGTCTTACACTGCTCGGCGTTCAATACATAGAGGTCACGCGCTGACTGGGATTTCAGCGGAGAATGCGCAGAGCACTTCGGACAAGTACTTGCCAAGTACCCTCCCCAGGTCTCGTCACGGACGGCCGCTGCCATGTGGGGTTGCTACGTACACAACATCGTCAACAAGCGGCTGGGGAAGCCGGAGTTCAACTGCGAAGACATAGGCGACGCGTATGATTGCGGTGTAAGTAGTGTCCTTTCACAAACCACATGTGAGACATGTACTGACCGCGCACACCAACATCCAGTGTGGAGACGACGATCCGACATCGAACAAAGACACAGCTGCATAAGACCCCGGATGATAAAGCGCTAGAGTGGCAGAGAGATCAGCAGGCAAGCGCATCGCCTTGAAGGATACACTTGACAATGTATCCTTTACGACCGCAAAAGCCCCATGTTGAAACATGCAGGACGTGTTTGCATGCAGGTTGGGGTTGGATGGCGCAGCGGACTTGATGCGCAATGCCCGAGACATTGCGCTGCGCAGACGGGTCGCGTCTGGTCACGATAGCATTATTTGCGGGTACCTGCTACGCCGCAAATGGCTGCTCGCGACCTGGGAGGGGGCCAATAAGCCAATAGTCAAGACGATAGCTGAAAGATATCGACGGAGCAGCTCCGGCCTTCCCGGCAGATCGCAGAGTTCGTCGGCGGGGTTTCACACGGCATTGTCTCGCAGTGGCTTTGTGGTGGTGGGATGTAAACCGGACTCGAAATTGCCCTAGCAATGCCCTAGCGAATGAATGTTCAAGAGATCAGCCTTCGGACAGGAACAGCCCTGTCGCGCGGAGAGCCACGCAAGCAAGATGTGCGCCAGACAAGAGGCCTTATCAAGCATGATAGAAGGATGGTAGAACGAAGCATCGCACTCTACCTGCGACACTGTGCCCCTCTGGACCGTGTGTGATACGAGTGCGTCATGGCACGGCGATGCTTGAGGTCGGCGAGCCATTGGGAGAGGGCGCTGGGCAGCCCACCAAGCCCACCAGTTCGGCGGGCGCGTGGCTCAAGTGCAGCGATTCGCAGGCGCTAACGGGCTGCAGCTGCGATGCGCGGTCAGTTGATGTATTTCGGGAGAGTCGCGAGGCGCGCACTGTCACAGGGGCCTGTTCCCAAAGCAACTTAGCGCTATACCGACTTTTGTTGTATCCCAAACAACTGAAACCTTCCCTGGGCCAGCGAGGGGTGATAACGACGCGGCGCCCCCTCCCCACACCGACTCTTCCATCCTCTCCTCCATTGACCGTCTGCCAGCTGTTCACCGCTCCTTGCCCATCGAAACCGCATTCCCACCATGGTGTCGTTTTCCTGCGAGGTACTTGAGCCCCATGTCCCATGTTTACCTCTCCCCCACCATGCGCCCCTGCCGTAGCCATGCATCCTATGCTGACTGTGACGGCTTAGAACTGTGGAGACGTCCTCACAAAGAAGAAGCTTGACGGCCACCGCAACCAATGCTATGGCGCGTCCTTTACCTGCCTCGACTGCATGGTGCACTTCCCGGGAACTTCTTACAAGTCCCACACGGTACGCATATGCTTCTCCTGCCCTATATGACGATCTGCTGGCCTCGAAACAACGCCTATCGATTGCTGCGCGACTTGCGCCAGCACTGCGCATTGCGCCGTGTTCGATTTTTCATTGTTCAAAGTGGCTGACAGACGCGAAACAGGCCTGCATAACCGAAGACCAGAAGTACCAGGGCAAACTCTACAAAGAGAAGAAGAAGGGCCCGCAGCAGAAGCGGGACAGCGCCTACCACGACAACTCGCAAGCACTCACGCCCCACAACGCATACGTCGAAGACGCGCGCGACGATGGCAACGCCGTCGCAGTCGTGGATGCCCCGCCTCGCGCACCCACTCCTCCGCCAGCGGCGCATTCTCTAGGCTATCATGAGCAGGCCGCGATTGAAGCGCCCAATGTCTTCGACTTCCTCGACCCCTCCTCCACGCCCAATGTTCCGCGAACGACCACGCACATCGATGAAGCGCGTATGCTCGAAGACAGTCAGCCGCCCGCATACGACGAGCAGTACATGCCCGCAATCGCAGACGTTATGAAGTTCCAGGTAGCCGACGACGA